AAAGGTCTCCGCACTGCCAGGCTGGCTTTAAAACGCTCCCTCCGCGCTCTGTGCCCCACGCTCGGGGCTGCGGCGCTTGGAGCCATGGCGGTCCACGGCCGCCAGACCCTCCGCTCGGTCCCTGCGAGACGCGCCTTGTCCGGCCAGACCATCTCTGAACGCTTGGCCCTTGCTCGTGCCAGCAGTGTGACTGCCTTCCTGGTTTACAATTGCTTTAAGTAATAATCTGCTAATAAACCTGGAAGAAGCGGTGACGTTATTCTTAGCTGAACGCCATTAAAATGCTCCTCTACTATTTCTCAATAGAGGTGAAAAGCATTTTAGCTTCCTGGAAATGGCCGAAACAGGCGACGTGTAGGTCAAAGTACGGTGTAGATCTGTTCTTGGGTTTGCAGGGGTTTTTTGAACTGTAATGAAAACGTTTCTGCAGCTTGCATCATAATGAGTTCAGTCAGCACGTAAAGTGATTAAAAAAAAAAAGCAGATTTAAACAGCATCGGCTAATAACTTTCCTGGGATTTAAAATACATGTTTAAATAGATATTTGGATATTAGTAATATCTGCATTTAAACCTTAACGTTGGTCTATTTAACCCTGAAGCAAACTAGCTCTGCCTAATACAGGCTTTGAAACAATTCAGCTAGACCATAATACTGTGGGAGCTTAGGCAGCTTTGTCTGTACTTGCACATCTCTGCGCATTTTTCCAGGACTATGATCTTTGTCTGCAATTAATCATTGTTCAGGACGGCCGTTCCCGATGGTAGAATCCATGAACTGCTCCAGCTGGGAGAGGTCCTAAAGCGTGTGCCTGGCACCGCTTACGTGCAAACCAGGGCCAGAAATTGCTGGGGCAGCAGGCGTTTTACAGCGAGCCTGCCGTGCGGACCCAGTGAATTGTGTGGGTCCTCAGCACTTCTGGAAATTGTTTTTGTAAGTCTGAGCTGAAAATTTATTTCCGTTTTTAGAGTTTCTAAATGACTATAACGTTCAATGTAGTTTAAAAGTCACCAAGGCAGTTGAGACCGGTTGCACTCTCAGAGTGGGTGGTTTCATGGCTGAACCTCGTATCTGAAAAGCTAAATGTTCTGGTACAGCGTGTTTAAATCCCAGAAAGGTCAAACCAGACTTTCATACTTGAGTTAGATTGACCCTGGTTTACTGTGTGAGACTCTGTAGAGAAAGAAAGAGATCTTTCAGGGGAAAGGGAAAAAAAAAAAAAAGATTTTTTTTCTCTGAACAGCTTGTGGTGACTCTATGCACATTCTTGAAGCAAAGGGGGTTGTTCTTGCCCACAGCGTCCCTCCCCTGCATTGTTGAGTGGAAAACTCTTATGCTAATTATTTCACTGTCTGTTATCAATAAGAAGTGATTTAATTTCTTTGGCAAAGTGTTGCAACAAGAGCAAATTAGATTGAGAGGCAAAGTGAAATAAAAAATATGCAGCTGTTCTGCCAAACAATGATCGTGACTGTTTACAACATTTTGTTTTAGACTGGCTTGTACACAGAATCCTTTATATTGAAGATTTTCATGTTACAATCCACTGCTTGTGCAAGGAAACTAGATTAATAGATTATAAAGGACAAAAGAGACCTAGGTTCATCTGGTTCGACTTCCTGCATAATGCAGGTCATAAGATTTTTGTGAATTTGTTGCTTTTTCTCATTTGAAAGAATTTAACTGCAGCATACCTGCATCTTAGAAAAACATCAGATTTTCATTTTAAAATGGGCCGTGAGAGAGAGTAAAACAAGAGTTAGTAAATTGTTTCCATCAAAATCTACCTGACAGACTAGAAATCAAAATACCTTTTTAAACTTGCCTAGTTTCTGCTTTCAGTTTCTGGATGTTGCTGTGTCTCAGTCTGCTTGACGGAGGAATGCTCCCTTACCAGATTTCTGTCCCCTTGTAGCTGTGTACAGGCTGATCAACTGAACATTTAACACTCCCATTGCAGACTTGCAGAGCTCCCCCTTGGGTCCATCTTTACTAATCCTGTAATCGTTCCTGTCGCAGTTCCCTGTGAACACTCCAGTTTTTCACCATTTTGATCTGGGGGGACGGAGCGATCAGCGGTGATCGTACCCGTGCCAACAGCCCTCCTGGCTGAGATGTATCTGTTAGGCATCCAGGGATTACACCAGCCCATGTTCAGCTGGTTTGCCAGCGTGGCTCCTCTCAGATCTGCTCCTCCTTGGGATGGCATCGCCGTCCCATTGGTTTGTGCTCTTTGTTCTTTATCTATGACTTTACACTTGGCCCTCTTGAGAAGGCGAAGTCCTTAGACAGCGTTGTTGCTTGCAATGCGCTTTTTTTTTTTCTTCATACCCCCTCCTGCTACTGTTGAGTGTCACCTACAAACTTGATTGGCGATGATTTGATACTTTTTTCCAGATAAACAACTGCTTTTGTCTCCACTGTAGGAGTTTCCTGGTTCAGGTGTGTGTACACCTCAGCTGTGTCAATACTGTGTCAGGAGGAGGTCTGTATGTGCACCATCCTCTTGCCACACCCCAGTTTAATGAAGAAAGCCCAGCTTAGGAGCTGGAAGGGAGCCAGGAGGCGCACTGCAACATTTGCCTGCCCTGGTGTCTATAAGGTAGCCATTAAATAATGTAGGGCCCAAAACAGGTAGTTGCAGGACCCATAAAAGAAAGATGACAGCTGTAGGACGCAGTGGTTACAACTGCATTTTGAGACCTTCCTGTTAGATGGATTCTAATCCATTTGAGATTGCCTTCTTGCTCTTACATTCTCCTACTCATAATCATGTAAATGTTTCACAGGGGTTGAAGTATGGCACGTCAGCCCTCTTGCAGAAATCTCCTACTAGTGCTATTACCATTTACCACCAAACCTTGCAATTTCTTAAAACAGTTTCTCTCTCAGCAGCTAAGCTCATGAAGTTTTGTCTCCCATGGATTTGTGTCTATAAATGCCCCCTGACAGATCTTCCAGCTCTTTCCCAGTCTTGCTTGCCCTGTCTGGCTGAGCAAGGGGTGATGTGCTGGCTGGGAGCTCCACAGGGGCCAACCAGGCAGCGGTACTGCCCCTTGGTATGGGCAAGGGCTGCCTTCTGCCTGCCTTTCCCCGAGACCAAGGTGGTGCCTCTACTACATACTCTACTCAGCTGTTCATTCAAGACCTAAATACGTTTGGGACGACTTCCCCACTGCCAAATTTGATTGAGATTGGAGGAAGGAGAGGGAAAATGACACAGAACAACACAGACACATTAGACTGTTTTATTTTTAGGAAACCAGGCTAAGAATATCAAAGGAATATTGAGTAGGAATATGGACAGGGTATTTGCCTGTTCCGTTGTTTTGCTGTGAAATTTTTCATTTCTTCCTAAGAACAGCAGTTGATCCGTCTAGGGAATTTCTCAGCCAAAATAAGCAATCTCCTGACAGATTTCACCTGTGTCCCGACATGCTCTGAGGATGCATGGGATGTAAGCATTGAACAATGACAGGGAATCACTAATCTGCTGTGTTGTTTGGCTGCCTGGGTGCAAAGAAATGTATGGTGATACCCAATAGTAGAACAAACATTTATTTTGTTTAAGATCCATACAACTTTTGATTGACATGTTGGATATTTGCCAGGGCTAGGTTTTTTGGTTCTTTTTAAACTGTATCTGTTAATTTTATTTCTGCCACCTCTGTAAGACAGGTAGTGAGTGCTTTCAGAGATCTAATCATTCTTGAGCTATAAAGGAATAAAGAAGCTGTTTCAACACCTGACTTGCAGAATGTTTTGTGTTGCTTCTTGCCTATTGAAATGCAGCTGCTATTGAAATGCTATGATCCCATCAGAATGTACAACCAGTTATTTTTTAGAATACTTTCAAGCTTATAAAAATCATTAAATCAAGAAGGTTGGCAATTCTAATCAACATTCTAAAGCCATCAAATTACTAAATATTTCAGTTCGGTGCTTCATGGCTTAAACAGTACAGTTTTACAAAAAAAAGAATGGAAAGAATGTACCATTTAAAGAATTTGGGCACTCACAGAACTTGCATCAAAAGGAAATGAAGATACAGATAAGTAATCTAAAAGGATATTGATGCATTAAAATACTTGTGTATCTGGACACCTATCATTAAACAGTCTAGATGCGATGGTAGCTGGAGACCTGTGAGCCTTTTTAACAAATGCAGCGCATACAGGGAACATTCTGATTGTAAGTGATGGAGTATTAAATGTTGCAGCCAGAAAAGTGATGACAAAGATCAAACAGAATGAGTGTAGCTTACAAATCGGAGCAGTTTCTTCTAACTGGTGTGATGCAAACAATGTACGACACAAGATCAAGACAGTTTTGCCCTTGACATTGTCGCCATTGCTCTCAAATCTGCAGTTAAGGATCCCCATCTTGATTTATTTTTGACAGGACAGTTGGGAGTGCCCCAGCTGGTCCACTAAGCCACGGTTTTCAGCCGAGTGGGCCAGAACGCGCAGAATTAGCGAATGCTGTGCCATCCATTGCCTTTCTATGCTGCTGCATAACGGCAGCTCCCAGTTGCTAAGCAGCTGCAGAGCCATCTTTGCCTTCGCTACCAATCAGCTGTACTACGGGAGCAACATGAGTTCCCCTTGATCGGTGGAGAGGAGCCGGCAGCATGAAAACGGGAGCAGTGGCCATAGCAAAATTGTTCCTTTTCTGGCTGGCTGATGGGCCCCCTGGCAAAAATGCTGGAGAGAAGCAAAGGGACGCTTGATGGCCCAGAAGGCGGGGGGTGGCAGGGAGGGGAGAGGGAGAGCCAGCATATGTGCACAGTGGAGGTTACAAAGACAGCAGATCTTAGCAGAGCAGGGGGCATGCACCGAGGAGAAAGAAATGGGAGAGAGGCCAAATGCACAGTTCGGAATAAAAAAAAAAAAGCAGGAGGAAAGTGCGGCATATGGAGAGGAGAAATAAAGCAGAACTTGCACAGCCTGCGAATAATTGAATAGAAAATACGGGAGGAGAGGGAAGGAGCTTGATTCATTACTGCCCTTCACCTTGTGGAGACAGCTACGCCCGGGAAGAGGAGGTGTGGAATACAACAGCATCTTTCATGTTTCTCAGTGAACTGTAGGTTTTACATTTCAACCCCTGCCGTTTGTGGTTTTCTCACTGCAGAGCCCCTGCCTTTTGTTTAGACTTGATTCCTGCAGGCTCTGTTCTTATCTTTGCCTAGTTTCTAATTTATTTTTGTACTTGCTTTAGCTTTTTTTGTTTTTTCAAGGTAAGTCTTAAATTAAAATACCTTTTCCAGACACTTTAATTGTTTTAACCTTCAGGAGGGCAGGCCATTGCTAATTCCTAACTGAAGTTAGTTTCCACTAAATCTGCAAAGCCGTCACTGCTTTTCTCCCCCTCTCTCTTCCGGGAGCTGCTGATGGAGAACAGGGTTCCCTTTACTTCCCAACACCTTCCCCTGCACGTTGTCTTTCCTTTTCCCTGTGCAATGTCTGCCAGCAGTCCGGGAAGACTTGCTGCCAGCAGTGTGCAGGAAGTGGTTCCTGTGGCCATAAATTATCATAAATGCCTGGCGTGTTGCATAAGAGGGGGTAGAAAAGCATCACGAACATCTGCGGGGGGGGTTGTGACCAAAAGAGATTCTAGTTCCACCACTGCTCAGCTGCCCACATGAAAAAATACTTTATGGTCTCAGCGCCTAACATGCAATTGGCTGCATAATAGGAAATGCCAGTAGAGCTGGCAGGGAAGCAGGGGAGCTGTATGTTCCTCTCTGGCTCCTCCAGACAGGATTGAGGGGCACATTTGCACAGGAGGGTGGGGAGAGGAATTAAAGCTTGTGCAGCTGTTGCCCTCCTCCATGGCCAGCCCTGGCTCGCTTGGAGGCCTGTCAACTGAGAACACTTTTCCCCAGGTCCAAAATTGAGTCCTAAAAGGAAAACAGAGGTGCCCACCCAGATCTACAGTAGAAAGGATTTGCTATGGGCTCTGTGTGTTTGTGTATTTCAAGCCGATAAAAAACTTGACAAATACGCAGCCAGATGTGTTTCGTACTTGGAAGATTTTTGTCTAAGACGTCTGATTCGGAGGGATGCTAAGATTTGCTTCCTTCTTCCACTTGTCTGGAGTCCTGTATCTTTGAACAGGCACTGACTATACTATTGTTAGACTCCTAAGACCATTAAAGGTCTAGGGGCACTGACATTTTGCAAGTAGATTCAGCTGCCTTTCACACAGGGGCATTTTTAGCATTATAAGAGATGTAAGTTTAATTAGAATGGTTTTAACCAGGAAATCTCCCCGCCTTAAGAAATCAGAGCTACTATGTTAATCCCAGTAAGCAACTGGGAACTTGACAGTGTGCCTGTTGTTACGATGAGAGGCAGGAAGGGTGAAATATGTGTAGGAAGGGAGAAACGCACAGGAAACATGCCATCAAGGACAGCGGTGTTGAGCTCACACAGGGCAGCGCGCCAGTCCGTGTTCGGCGATGACCCGTGGGCTGGAGCAGCGCTGGCAGGTTGCTGCCCTCTACGTGCCTGCGCACACCAGACCACGCCACTGCCGCGATTGCTCAAACACCTTCCTGACCTGTTCCGGTGACTCTCAGCGAGGACCTCCAGCCAGGCCACTCTGTGCTGTCAACCCGTCCAAGCTCCAACCCATCCAAGTGCGGCGCAGGCCAAAAATCACAGCTCTAAAGCAAACATGACACAATTACAACCGGGTTTATTTCCAGTGCCTCAAGTTATTAATTAGCCTGCTCTGAGCATCACTGTTTCTTTGCAGGGTTTGCTCCTGCCGGGTTAATGGCTACTCTCAGGTCTGAGATAAACTCAGTCTGGGCCTGTCCTTTCTCTAGGGATGCTCTGACAAGCCACAAACCTCTCTGGCTCCTGCCAAACCTCCATCCCTATGTATGAGCTTCTTCCCAGCCAGACAACGACAGAGCAAGTGCTTCCTGCTTAGCTCTCCCCGTACATCTAGCACTCAACAAAAAACAGGCAGAAATGATGGTGTTTCCCGTAGGGATATAAACAGAGGATTTTCTCATCTCTTCAGTCTGCAGTTGCTGCCTTCCTGTAGGAAGTTTGCACAAATATCAGAGGGGAGGATGTGAACTTCACACGTTAACTGCCCTTCAGTGTCGGTGCAATACATATAACTCAGCAAAAGTCTGCCCCTATTTTATCCACAGTCCTTTCTCTTATAGCCTACTTTGCCATCCTTTTTTCTCCTCCTATGAATATTCCCAGTTTCCCCACATTCTTGTCCAAAAGGTTTGAGAGCTTCCTGCCTGGGCCAGGTGCAAGAGTGATAGCTATTGCATAGCCAATGCAGCAATGAATCGTCGATGGAAGCCTGACTCTTCTAATGGCTCTGAAAAACACATGCTTGCTCAGGTTGGACTGTAGCTCCTGTATGCATAGTAGAAAGCATATTTAGCAAGCCAAACCTGGGATCATTTAAACTTGAGGTTCTCAAAAGCCTCACAAAATGTACAACTCCACACATTTCAGGATTAGTGGAATCTACCAACCAACTTCTGAGGACCGTAACCCAGATTTGGCCATCCGCGGCAGACTCACCTACTCCATACTTATCCCTGCTGCATAATCTAAAAAAGCTGAATGCAACTCCTGCTCCGGTGCTGTGATCATCCTAATTAACATACACTCCTATTGGTCTCAGTCCTCCCTTGTCTCTAAACCGGCAAGTACATTAAAAGAAAATCTCTCTCTACCAGGAATTACTGGGAAGAAGGGAAAAGTAATCTGAAGAAAGCAGATAACTGCAGAGAGCACTCTGATTTTGAAAAAAATAACATCTTAGTGCTTGCTGGGTCAGGTGGAGTGTTGGGTAATGAAAACACAGGAAGGCATAAGCCAGAGGGATTTCAGGCATGTATACTAAAGAGAGGGGATGGATATTGGGTAAAAACACATTG